AGAAAACGCTGGAAGTCTGCCTGGAGTAACGGTCAGACGTCAGACCACTTTCAGTTTTAAGAAAAGCATGATGGTGAAAGGTCTCTATGCAGTAAAATTGAGTCCTTGGAGTGGGGGGGGGGAAGGGAATGCAAAAAATGATTGATTGCAACCAGAAAGGAAGGTTGAACGTTTTTTTAAAAAAAATCCACACAGAAAGTTACCAGGTATTAACTCCTCTTGCAAATTAAAGGATATGGAACAATTAAATACGAACAAAAGTCAACACATCAGTGGCTGTTAAAATAAAGGATCAACGCTGGAACTGTATTTTTTGGATTAAATAAGCAAATTGGAGTGGGAACAAGGAATCAACATCTCCTAAAAATCTCCTAAAATCAGAACATGGGAAGTCAACCAAAATGTTTAATTTGGAATCTGACAATTGGCTTTTTAAATTGAATTATGATTTGGTATTGTATTAATGTGGTCTATATTGTTATTAATGAAAAATTAATAAAAAATATTATGACGAAACCTCTACAATATATGGTGGTGGCCATTAAGCTACATGATTTTAAAAGGAATCTAAATCAATTTATGGAAGATAAGGGTTATCAATTGCTGCTAGTAAATGATAACTATACTACCTCTAGAATTGGAAGCAGTATTCCGGCTGTGGCCCTCATATCCCGCTTGTGGCCTTCCCAATGGAATCTGCTTGGCCACTCTACTTATATTCTTTTGCTAGGCCCAAGCTATCTGAAAGAACATGTTCCCTCATATGAACCTGCCCAGGGTTTAAGATCTTTGGAGGAGGTCCTTCTCTTGTTCCCACCACCCTCAGGGACGCTTGATAGGGATGTGGAAAAAAGGGTCTTTTTGGTGACTGCTCCCAGACTTTGGAACTCCTTCCCTGGAGAAGTTAGACTGACTCCCTCTTTCTTATCCTTCCAGGAGCAGGTGAAGACTTTCTTGCTCTAAGTCCCACGAGTCCCTGTCAGGGAAAATTTCTCTAATACCTGAGATGTCACACACAAAACAGCATAAAAGAAAGAAACAATAGCAAGTGAGCTGGGAAGGCTTATGTTGCTTGCTCCGCTGTATTTACCCAAAGCACTCCTTCTGTTTGTGAACTTTTTGATACATGCCTCTTTTTCCCAGAACTATGTCCCAGTCCATCCAGGGATGGAGCTATAAGAGCACTGTGGAGGGCAGCACAATTCAGCATACATGACGTCCATGAACTATGCTTTACTCACTGGCTTCAGTTATTTCCTGGAGTTAATGTATGGTTCAAGATTTCCCTGTAGTGACCTTCTTCTTCCTTAACCATCTTGCAATAAATGACGTGTCATGCTACTGAATGATAATCACCGTGTCAAATGAGAATGTTCTGGTTTATTGAAGTCAATGAAGCAGAAGTAAGAAAACCAATGGAGTAAGGCTTTCACCTGAGCTCTGAAACAATAACACTGGTGTAGGGAACCTTTGGCCTGCCAGATGGCGCTGAACAAAAACTCCCATCAGCCCCAGCAAGCATGACCAGTGCATAGCTGTCAACATTTCCCCTTTTTAAGGGAAATTCCCTTATTCTGAATAGGATTCCTTGCAAGAAAAGGGAAAAGTTGACAGCTATGGACCAGTGGCCTTGGATGGTGGCAGTTGTAGCTCAGCAACATCTGGCAGGCCAAAGGTTCTTGACACCTGCATAAACAAAGGAATGGGAGGATGGTAACTGCATGTCATTCAAGAAGTGACTTGCCTTATGAACATTCCTTATTTATTACAGCATCATGGAAAGTAAGAGGCGGGAGGGTCATTTCTTCTACTTGATAGTCCTCTATTTGAAGGACTCTCCATTAAAAGCCCAGTTTAAAGACCAAAAAATGAGGGTACAGCAGAGGCATTGAATTTGTTCATCAACAGGTAATATCTGGACTGCACACTTGAGTAGTGACACACAGGCCACCAAGCCAATCCACTTCAGTTTGGTAAGTCACATCCTACCTCACTGTGGTCAGATGTCCTGTATTTCTATGTAAGTAACAGTAATTCTAAATTTGCAGAGGTTTTGCACATCTTTTTTAGGGGACACATGGCAACTCTTAAGCAGTCACCCTAGTAAGACATTAGAACTTTTAACAGCATACTAAGTAATAATAATAATAATAATAATAATAATAATAATAATAATCTGGGCAGCCCCCAACAGAACACCAACAACAATAATAAAAAAGCAACAACATCAAACATTAAAAACTTCCCTAAACAGCGTTGCTTTCAGATGGCTTCTAGAAGTCAGACAGTTGTTTATTTCCTTGACATCTGAAGGGAAGGGCATTCCATAGGGTGGGTGCCACTATTGAGAAGGCCCTCTGCCTGGTTCTCTGTAGCTTCACTTCTTACAGTAGCATTTCAAGACAGAGATATCAGCTATGACTTAATCCATTGCATTATATATAGCTATTCTGTTCCAAAGGAATACAAATCCTGGTTAAGTGCCAAGACTCCTGGAATTTCGGACATCTCTTGGCAGAGATATACCCAAAGGCACAATAACATTTAGCCATGAGCAGAATTAGAATGGAGGACAGGCTGATGTTACACAAGGGCCTTGATGTTTTCTGGCTGCTGTTTCATATAGCATGGATTTACTAGATTTTGCATGGAAACCTGAATGATTTGTAAAATAGCTGCTTGTGTCTCTGGGTGGTATGCAGCATGGGATTACGGAAAGGAAAAATAGTGTCTCCATATTAGCAAACGATTGTCTGAGAGCTATTCAAATAAAGCAAACCAATAAATTTTTCAGATCAATTCTTTTGCTAGAAATGATACTTTTTCAAGGCATGTGGAAACAATGTAAAGGACTATAGTTGTCAAAGTATTCTCTGTTCGGGGTTCCTTTTAATGTCACATAAATACATTCCTGCATGCATTTAAGGACAGTTCATTTGCTCTTGAACCAAATGGCATTTTACATAGTCATTTTGCTTCGGAATCCCAGCTAGTCCTACAATGGGGTTTTGTTTTGCTTTCAACCAATTGAACTATATTTACTAACTGTTCAATGGCCCTGTTTAAAAACTCTGTGTGTGCATGTGCCATGCACATGGTGGTATGAGTTTCCCTTCAAAACTTTGGAATAATCACAAATATTGTTTGTCAGACACTGCCTCAACTCACTTTCTGCCATTACTAAGCAGGACTGGATGAAATGTTAGTTGGAATTGTTCCTTGTATAATCATGTTTGCACCCACATCTACACACTTCATAAAAGCAATGTACAAATTGACTCTAAGTCATCCATTTTTGAAAGAAAAAAAGTGGTTGAGTTGGTTCCCTTTTTTCAAATAGGTTTCAGATTTTTGCAAATAACAATGGAAGAATCAACCTACCACCACCGAAAAAACAAGATCCTTAATCAGCAACCAGTTGACACTTTAGTTGCAAGCTTACAAAATTTTTAGTCATATCAGGGCTTGCAGTCCAAAATTTGATAGCAGTTCAGTTATCAGCCATTGGTTAAAAATGGTGTTATCAAGTCAGTGATGGGGGGGGGCTGCCTTTTGTATGAGATGCATCAGCTGTATTAATTTTGTTTCCTTTGGACATGCTATGCCAGAGATACGTTTCCCATTCCTGTTTCTTTCATTTCTCTAGAAACTGATTTGCATCACTAGCATCTTCTAATCTCATAAAGTAATCTATAGGCCAGGGATCTGGCATGTGTCATTACAAGTCTGAGCAGACATTTCCAGTAAATACAGTTTTCGTTTTACACTTAAAAACAGATACTAAGATGACTCAAAACATGTGATGATTTGCTTGCGAACTTTAAAAATTTGATTTCATGAAGTAGGAGCAGTTGTCTGTGTCTGAACAGCAGGGTTGAAAGTCTTTACCAATGAAAGGTCAACATTCCAACAGATACGGCTGGAATCATTCATCTTCTTTCACAGAATGCAAATGATCATTATGAGATAGGTCACCAGGCTTCTGTTTAGGAAACAGGGAAATGTGAAAAGTGCAAACAGGCATCAGAGGATATGGATTCTGCTTGGCCCTTACTGAAGAAACCTTGCAAGGGTGCTGTTTTAACACCAGGAATCAGCATTCAAGTGAAATGATAAAAGCAAAGTAATAACACTCTCAATATATACAAAAGAATCTCTTCACCCTTCATATAAAAGGAAATGGGAATGGGATTTAGCAAATATTGGGTTAACAATCATCGAAGTAGAATGGACATGGGCATTAGAAAACATTCCAAAAATGCTTATTGGTGTGAACCTGAAAGACAATATTAAAATGGTACTTAATTGTACACAGCATTAGTAAAAAAATTGTCCAAAACATGCAGCTCTACAGTTCTATGATTCTATGCATTGTCTTGGAGCTAAAATAGAATTAAGGCAGATTTAATGCATGTTTTATGGAGTTGTAAAAAAAATAATGAGGGACGCGGGTGGCGCTGTGGGTAAAACCTCAGCGCCTAGGACTTGCCGATCGCATGGTCGGCGGTTCAAATCCCTGCGGCGGGGTGCGCTCCCATCGTTCGGTCCCAGCGCCTGTCAACCTAGCAGTTCGAGAGCACCCTCGGGTGCAAGTAGATAAATAGGGACCGCTTACTAGCGGGAAGGTAAACGGCGTTCCGTGTGCTGCGCTGGCTCGCCAGATGCAGCTTGTCACGCTGGCCACGTGACCCGGAAGTGTCTGCGGACAGCGCTGGCTCCCGGCCTATAGAGTGAGATGAGCGCACAATCCTAGAGTCTGGCAAGACTGGCCCGTACGGGCAGGGGTACCTTTACCTTTACCTTTAAAAAAAATAATGGTGCATTTCTGGACAGAAATACTGGATTCAAGCTTAAGTCTGATTCCTCAAGGTACTAATTTACAGGGGAGCCTATGCATGCAGGACAGACTCCCCTCATCAGACCATCCCACCACAATGCATTGATGACAGGAACAGTGGTGACAGAGAGGCAATGGTGGGGGACATTCTTACCCCAGCACAATGAACAATCATGTGAGGCAAGTATGTTTATGTATACTTTGTTGTTTAGTCGTTTAGTCATGTCCGACTATTCGTGACCCCATGGACCAGAAGCCTTTAGAACAACGTGCCCTAGCAGGAATGAATGTTCCTGCTATTGCCCCATTAAAACTGGAGGAAGCATTCTTGCAGTTCCTCCTGTGGCTCCCAGATAGACCAGGCCATTAGTGAACTAGACCTGCAAAAATGCTGGCCAGGATGGTGCCAAGGACGCGTGGCTTTAAGCCAATCTGTGCCATTTGCACTCAACCTTGGGTTTTAAATATGGACGGGAGACAGTGTGGTTACATTTCCAGATCACTTTTCTTGGGGCAGTTTGGAATCCTTCTCTTCATGCTGTCTCAGATAGAAGTCTGATTTCATCTTGTGTATCAGATTCTGTGGTGTAGCTGATAAACAACACCTCTCCCAAGTCACCAGGTCAATCAACTGATGAGAAAGGGGAGGGGTGATCTCTGTCTCCGTTGTGGTGCTGAGATTTGGCAAAAAGGCCAAGACCTTCCTGCCCAACTCACCTGCATGGTGGGGATGAAAATCACTCTGGTTGTGCAGGTGTGCTCTACCCTTTTAGGCCATTTCTGCCAAATTAGGTTGAGGGTCTGGCTGGGGATTCACAGAAGAAAGCTTGGCAGACCAGATCAGACACATGAGCTGTCAACTGATCATTGATAATGTAGTGCACTGAGGACCGGATCTGAACATGGGAAGCCATAGTGCAAATCTCACTCACAGGCAAGCTCACCAAATGACCTTGAGCATGTCACTGTCTTTGAGTTAAAAATGCCTTGCTTATAGATATGAAGATTTGCCTTCCATGGTCAAAGCCAAATGACAGACAGACTATCCTTAAGGCATATGAGATTCAGAAGAATTGAAATCAAGGCTCAATCTTATTTTATTCACATCTGACTTCTCTCTCCTTTCCTACAGGTCAAATTTGCCATGGCGCTCTGGACCATTATTCTTCCTCTCCTACTAATCCTTTCTCTTTCTGATGGCTTTCCTGATGATGAGCGTATCAAGGAATGTGGAGCTCACTATGCTGAGCTGGTTAAGAACCTATGCCAAGGTATGTTTTCTGTTGCCTACCACAGATAATTTGCTTATGATTGCTTTACCAAACTCAAATTTATTTCTTGTTTCTTGTTTCTTGTTTTATTACCTTTTCTTTCTGATTAGCTTTTATTTCATGGATTAGCTTCTTATTGCATTTTGAATATGCTCTCAGTGACTTTCAGCTCTTCATGGTAAAGAAGAATTTACTTAGCTAGCAAGCTTTCAGTAGGCAGAGAATATCTGGAGAATAGTCAACATCAAACTTTACATAGGAAAGTTTGGGGAGCTAATAAGCTATATTTCAAACTCATTCATCAGTTATTTCAGAACAGTGGCCAGGTATCAATGCATAAAACCCCCCAAGAGCTGGTCAGTTCTCATTTAAAATAAGCAAAACACTAAAATTCAAATAAAACTCACAAATGGCTACAAACAAAACTGCTTGATTCTAAAGTTGACAATCTAGGCACACTTACTTTGACGGAAGCCCCACGCTGAACTCCGTTGGAGTAAACAAGTGCAGGATCAGCCCTAAACGTCACCACATTTCCAAAATATCAGCTCTTTTCACTAACCTTGCCAAGATCCCTGATTCACATAGCCTGAGCTTTGCGTAAATCCACAGGAACATGGCTTCCCTGAGTCAATCTTGTCTCATAGGAGGGGAGAATCTACTCATGTTTACACCTGTTATGAAAGTTACCTCCATGGGAGACAGAATGGGTTAAGGATGGCATCCTGCATATGTCCGAAACCTGGCTTATTGGTCACTTGCTCTGCACCCCCCTGTATGTTGACTTGTAAGGCAAGGAAAATAGGAATGATAGGATCAAGTCCTGTTAGCAGTGACTAGTAGGCTTGAGAAGGACTACTTCTCTACTTGAAGGAAGCCCCATAGTTCTGGCCAATTGTACACAAGGCTTGAAAGATGCATGTACGAGAGAGTGACTTCAGCTTTCATACAGAATACTATATTTTAAATATAGATCTCCCATTCTCCTGCAGGAGGTGTTTCTGGGAGCATTGGAGAAGAGTGCTGTACCACTGACTGCTCCTATAAGGAGATAAAGGAACGCTACTGTCCCTGAACAATGTCTATGCGTGCATGCAGAAATAAGCACTTTGCTATTGTGGCTTTAAAGTAATTGAAATAAAGTGCTACCAATAGAAATATAAGCAGCCATTGTGCCTGATTATGTATGTATGTCTGGAAGTTATGTACTGTATTTCATCAGTGCTGTATTATTTTAAAATCCCTAGATTGCAAAGTTCAGAAGAAAATTATTGCATCACTCTTTCCTTCCTTTTTTTAAAAAAGAAATTCTTTGCCTTTGCTTCCAGGCCCCAAAGGGGGCCCCCAAAACACCATCCAGCTTTTAAAATAAGCTGTTAGAATTCAGTACATAGGTTAAGAAGTCCTTTGTGCCAAGGGTGTGAAAAGGGGTTGGATTAGATGTGGAGAGGTGTTTCCTCACTGCAGACCTGGGGGAACAATTAGGATGGTCCACCCCAGAGACTGAATCTAGTTCATTTCCAGAGGCCCTCCGGGGAGTTCCCTATACAGTGGTACCTCGGGTTAAGTACTTAATTTGTTCCGGAGGTCCGTACTTAACCTGAAACTATTCTTAACCTGAAGCACCACTTTAGCTAATGGGGGCCTCCTGATGCTGCCGCGCCACCGGAGCACGATTTCTATTCTCATCCTGAAGCAAAGTTCTTAATCTGAAGCACTATTTCTGGGTTAGCGGAGTCTGTAACCTGAAGCGTATGTAACCTGAAGTGTATGTAACCCGAGGTACCACTGTACCTGCTTCTATTGAAGCCCTAATAATTTTGTGGGAAAGACCCTCACTAAGAAAGGGAAAATACACCCCCATAAAATATGACATGGATTTGCCAGAAATATGCAAATGTTAATTTATACATAAAGGTAAAGGTAAAGGTACCCCTGCCTGTCAGGGCCAGTCGTGACCGACTCTAGGGTTGCACGCTCATCTCGCTCAAGAGGCCGGGAGCCGGCGCTGTCCGAAGACACTTCCGGGTCACGTGGCCAGCGTGACGAAGCTGCATCTGGTAAGCCAGCACCAGCGCCGCACACGGAAACACCGTTTACCTTCCCGCTAGAAAGCGGTCCCTATTTATCTACTTGCACTTAGGGGTGCTTTCGAACTGCTAGGTGGGCAGGAGCTGGGACCGAACGACAGGAGCTCACCCCGCCACGGGGATTCGAACCGCCGACCTTTCGATCAGCAAGTCCTAGGCTCTGTGGTTTAACCCACAGCGCCACCCGCGTCCCTCCATTTATACATACTTGTGCAAATTTAGTTATACTTGCTGTAATTTAAATAGGCTATAATGACTCTCCTTGTAGTTGGGAAGATTATACACAGCTAGCTGCAATTGGAACTTGCCAGAGGCTTGACACAGCTGACCCACATCTCCATGCAGCTTCACATCTGTGGAGGGGGGCCCTATTCCTCCTTGGCATACTATAAAGTGGAGGAGAAAGTAGAAGGGATAAAGTAGCCAGGGGAGCAGTACAGATTTGGAGGGAAGAGATACAGTGGTACCTTGGTTCTCGAACTTAATCCGTTCCAGGAGTCTGTTCGACTCTCAAAATGGTTCAAAAACCAAGGCACTGCTTCCGATTGGCTGCAGGAGCTTCCTGCACTCAATCGGAAGCTGCGGAAGCCGTGCTGGATGTTCGGCTTCAGGAGCCGGTTTTCTCGGGAGCCAAGTCATTTGAGTACCAAGGTACCACTGTACTTTAAAAGTGAAGCATGCAGAAAGTAGAAAACAACAGAAAACAGAGCACACCTTCTAGGGACAGAAATTGAGGGGAAAGAGAAATTACTTTATGCAGAAACCTCAGGGAGGGCTCTTTACTTAGAGCACACACACCCCGCCCCCTGGTGAATCCCTGTGGGTACCAAGTCTGTTCTTTCTACAGCTTAACATGTATTAAATAATAAAAAATAAGAGCAGTCTCTTCCCTCCTAACAAGTCAAAAGAAACAGAGACAGGTAGGGATGGGAACAGGTAGCTCACTTGCCATAGGGCCTTCCTGCCAAGGAGGAGAAGAATTAATCAAGGGAATTTGCACAAATAGCTTGTCAGTATCAATGGTGCTAAAGAGCAGAAAAGAGGTCCTGCTGGGGAATTTTCTTTATCGTTCTCCAAGTTCTCAACTACAGCATAAGTAAAGAATCAGTGCTTTGTTGTAGCCAGATTTTCAAGGGTACAAATCTGATGGCATTCAGTCAGGGGAAAACTCATTTCAGGTATAAATTGGAATATTTCTTAAAATAACCAAAAATATAACATAGAGCAATATTTATGACTTTATTTAAATCCCAACATTTCCAACATGCCGATAAAAAAGAGATTTGTCTAGTCTTTAAATATATGCCATCAAGCAACTGACCACAAACCACAGGATTCATATTTCAGCTTCCCTGACCTGAGCACACAAAACATTCCTTTGTGCATCCTGTGTAAATTATAGCAGGAAAACACAGTACATAATGCAGTCTCGTAAATTCCTTATGAAAACTAATGCTATACATGGGATAATACTTTATATAAGCTATATACAGATCATTTGCAACATTTCCAGAAGTAAATACTAAAAAAAAACAAAACAACCATTTATTTAAAGAGCTTTTCCATTATCATCGAAAACACAGACTGAACAACTTAGCTATACATTCTGGAGGAAATCTTATTCTCTTCTGAACAGCAATTGTATTGATCTCAGCAGGCAATGGAAGCAGAATTAAAGGCTCAGGGGTTTTTCTTTGCTGTGACATATTTCTAGGTACACTAATAATAACAGTAAGTACACTAATAATATCAGTGGCAGTATCATAGACAATGAGATTAATCCAAGGCATGATTATTGCCAAACTGAAAACTTTGACAGTCTGCAAGCATTGGATTGCATTGAAACCAGCTCAAAATCTAACATTATGTGATTTGATGGCAACATCCCAATAAAAGCACCAGTACTCATCACAGTGAAAGTGGAAGCATGACTGATGTATACTTCTCCTTTGCACAACTCTTTTATTTCATGCTTAGGAGGCTTATTGGAGGGGTTGACCCAGGAATCCCCTCATCCTGGGGTTAACAATGACATCCTAACACACATTTTTTTTAGCTTTATGGCAGTGGTTCCCATTCCCCATCCCCACCCCCCCATGGACCACTTGGAAATTGTTGAGACTCTGGCAAGGCCACTTAATTATATTTCCCTGCCTGTTGTCGTAATGTGCTGTACAATTTTTGATTGTGTTTTGATTGTTTCTTTTATTTCTGATATTGCATTTTACTCTATCACATTTTGAATTCCATAGAATTCAATAGAACTCAAATTGGAAGGGTTCTTCAGAGACACTCCACAGAGCACCTGAATGAAGCTTGCAGACCACAGTTTGGGAACCCCTTCTCTAGGAGATTTTTCTTATATCTACCCTGATGTTTAGCTTTCTGAATTCAGTGAGACTTACTCCTAAGAAAGCATCTGAAGCTAGCAGCCTTAATCAGACAATGGTTCCAATTAGAAAGATCTTAAAACATAAATCGAGGATCTTAGCCCACAGAAATATAATACGAATACTAAGCTATTTACATCTGTTTTTAAAAATCATGTAAATCTTGTAATCACATGGCACTATGGCCAACTGCTGGCCACATGACCCAGAAGCTGTACACCGGCTCCCTCAGCCAACAATGCGAGATGAGCGCCGCAACCCCAGAGTCGGTCACGACTGGACCTAATGGTCAGGGGTCCCTTTACCTTTATGTACAACTGATGAACAAGTGGTAGGATTTATTTGTTTACTTTGTATATCAAAATGCCTGGAGGAAAATGATTGGACAAAGAAAAGAAAAGAAAAGAAAAGAAAAGAAAAGAAAAGAAAACCTAAATAAAAACAGCAGTTTCATCACTGTGTTTAAGGTTAATTAGAGGATATTTACAAAGATAACTATTTTTACATTCTGTGTCTTCAGAAATGAGTCAATTTGTTAGACTAGATGAAGTCTGCATCTAAACTAAAGGCAATGGTTACAATGCAAATATAAACACACAGTGATGTTGCATGCCATTGTGAATAATAGCGCAAGAGAGGTCTTTGTCGCCGAAAGAGACATCAGGGTTCCACTCCAGCAAATGCCTATCATAGAGGGACACAGAACTATCACTTGGGTCTCCGCACTGCAGGTCCTTGCAATGGTAGACTTCATAGGTGTCTTCATAGAGCCCACAGAAAATCATACAACTGAGATTCTTTCTATATACATACATCCCCAAGAATTGGAGTCAAGAGTCTGGGAAAGCCTTTATGATAGAGTCGTAAGCAGGAGGTGGTGTTTGTGTTGAGTTGGAGACACGAAGACTATTATTGGACCAGTGGAACTCGGGACGAGATAGGCTGTTGGTGGTGGTGCCAGTAAGTGTGGCGGTGGTGGTGGTGGCTGGTACCAACGTAATCAACTGACTTTCCGTTTCTACAGGAAGCGGGGGGCTCTGCAAGAAGGGATGAAACGTTGAGGCTCGGAAGCTTGATTTCCTTGGGAAGGAGTTGGCCTGCTCCAAGGAAGCTTGCCTTTGGAAGGTCAGGCTGGCCAAGCTGAGGTTACTGCGGCGTTCGCAGCTGCTGTTGCGATAAAATCCTGGCCTGCTGGCAGAAGATCCACGAGAAGCTCTGGGACGCCGGCTAGAGGATGAGGTGCTCCACTGGGAAATATGGGCACTGGCTCTGCGACTAGACAGGCAAGCCAGCAAAGCCCAGATTACGCCTCCGATCACAAGTCCAATGACCATAGAAACGGAAAATGCTATTATCATATGATCTAAAACAAAAGAAGTAAAATGGGGTGAATATTTCATGGAATCATATAACTGTAGAGTTGGAACGGACCCTGAGGGCCATCTATTCCAATGGAAAAAAATACAACATATCTACTAAAATGTGTGGGAGGATAAAAGCTTTATTTTGTGCATCAAGGGAGCTTGTACTTCTCATATACAATGCAATCCTAAGCATGTTGACTGAGCCGTAAATCCTAAATCGAATGGACTTTTGAAGTGTGTTCAAGACTGCTGACTGAGATAGACCAGAGTACAAGATTTATCACACTGCAATTTTGCATAATTTAGTGGTCAGTTTTCACATTATTTATCAATTAAGAAAATAAGGTCAGTGTGTTCACAAACTTCTATATTCATAAACTATATTATTTTGAATGTATCTCTGTCCTTAAACAAGTAGAAAATTTGCCTTCATTTGTTTTGTAAAGGCTAATCTTTTTTTAAAAGCAATTAAAAAATGCTTTGTGGCTTTTTCTGTAATCAAGTGGTAAATAAATTGTATGAAATACATAAAATATGAAATAAATAAAAATCAGTCCTCCCTTTGAGAATGTGTCCAGTTGCAGTGGCATTCCCCACACACATCAAGTTTGTACTCAGTAAGAAAGTAGACTGTTCTGTTGAACAAGCCCTTCAGTTAAAAGAACAATATTGCCATTTAAAACATGCCTTCAATTAACAGTTGAGGTAAATAAATTTTGCCTTTGATGTGAAGAATTTCCAGGAAAGCTAAATCATTTGAATAAGTGTGGCAAAATTTATCAGGAGTGGAATTTCATACATCTCTAGATCAGGTGGCAGAGAGTAAGCTAGCCATCTGTTGCAGAAAATAGAACCAAAATAATATTGTTGTATCTTTTTATAACAACAACAACAACAGACTCTGCAATTTTTCCTTAGAATGATCAATATATCCATATAGTGTAAGTATATTGCCCTCTGCTGGAAAACTACATAAATGAATATATCAGTTTCACAGCCCAACACTCCCCCCCCCCCGCCAATCCACACATCCATTAAAAAGAGAATAAGGGGAGAAATATTACCAGAAGTTTAACACATTTAGTAGGATTTTGAACCCTTACATGTCCACTCTTACATAACAATTTATTTCACAAGGTTTCCTTGTGAAAGTAGCTACAAAAACTGTTGAAACAAAATTGGCAATCTCAATAAAGAAGGCATTTATGACTTTGACTGTAAATTTCTCTTTGGTTCTTCTGGATATATTTGAATTTCCGCTCATTTCTTTTTCATATCTAGGCTTGGATGTGTATGTGTTGATATATTTCTTTAGAAATATTTGGCCAGTTCGGTTTACAGCTGTTGTAGGAAGGTGATATGTATTATTTCCAAAATATACTTCCCCATGGTAATCCACCACAATCATTACTACCAAATGTCAACTTTGCACCAGGAAAAGTCTTTGTGACCAGTTTCTTTCCTGTGCCTTCCAGCAACAGCTTGATATTAGCTGATGCTAATTGTTGCCATTAAAAACTTGCCCTGTGATTCCCGCACACCACGCTGCTCTCAGAGCCACAAAAACTGGCTGGCCAGATAAGTACTGCCTGTTTTGGGTCCACAGTTGATGGCAATGCTCCAATCATTTCAGCTCCCATGGGGAAGTTTCAGAAGGTATTCTCTCCTCCTTCTTATGCTGCTGCGGCTCTGTAACATGGCAAGCTACATTCCCCCGTCCTAAAAAAGTATTAAAGGTACAAGAAACTGACTATTATATAGTTTGCTGCTCTGCTATGATGTTAGGCACAGAAAGACATGTTAGGTCCCAGGACATGGTCTAAGCAGGGGCGGTGGAGGAAGGGGGGTGCGGTGGGTGCGGTCTGACCTGGGTGTCACCACTGAGGGAGGTGACAAAATGCCGGGCAGCACTCACTGCGGGGCCTGCAGCACACCCGTCTCTTCTGGGAGAGATACGGTGGCTTGGGCGTGCGCAGGCTCCGCACTGCCCAAACGGACCACCTTCTGCCTCCCCTCCAGCTGTAGGGCAACTGAGTGGGAGGAGGCAGGCAGACTCTGGAGGCCCCGCGGTGCACCCTGCTCCTATGGGCAACTTGCCCCACCCCTGGGCACGCCACCCTAGACGCCCAAGCAGTTTCCTCCGCCGCTGGGTCTAAGGGCTCGTGCAGCCACCCTGCTGAAGCTAAGCAGGTCAAGGTCTGACAATTCAGGGAAATGTCTGAGATCCTGAACTCCTCAGGCTGTTGACTAAATGCGCAGGCTTATTTTACACTTCCTCGCTTGCCTGCTTAACAGTTACGTGCAGATGCAAAATGGTAATCTTGTTCCCTGAACTTGCTTTTCCCCTTGTCTTCCTCCTGTAATTCCTGGGTTGGACTACACTACAGCTAGCCCAGTGCATTCTGGGAATATGTTCTGGATCAGCCATAAACATGGCATCCCTCTTTCCCCACTACATGCGAAATCACAAGCATAATTGAATATTCACAGCACTTGAAAACACTTCTACCACAACTGTACAAGAAAAAACACATTGAGCTCCATGATGGAAGAAGATTAAGATAAATGTTGTCAGTAAACAGCTGTTACTGAAATTGTCAGAGATGAAAAGCTACTTTCTTAGAGTTTCAGTAGATACTCAAAATAAGGCACTTAACCATTTGAAACCTGAATCATTACAGCAGAATTATTTTTAAAATAAGCTAATTATGTCATGAGGTAGTTACCTACCTTTATTACCGATGTTTCTATAGTACTGAAGTGGTCATAAGCCATTTCTGTAATGTTACCCTTTCTTATCCCCCACATAAAGAATAAGTGGCCATATGCAATATAGCAGATAATAATAATAATTATGATTCCAGAAGGCAATTAGACAGTAAGAGGGGACAATAACATCACCCCGACCTAGGTGGGGCTTGATTTATGACTTTTGTTCATATTCAAAATTATATGAGGTGGACATTTCAGTTTCCTGTAGTTGTTGGTTACCCACCAATCAGCATGGCTTTTGCAAAGTTGGCAAGCCTGATGCCTGATGTGGAGCCAAGTTGCTTCAGGTGTTCCTTACAAAAAACGGAAATTCAGCAGACATTGCAATCAGCAAAATATCCTGTAACATTTGCAGAATGCATTAAAAATTTGGTCAACAAAACTTTGGCTTTGTGACTGGGAAAGATGTAGCTGAAAAGAAAGGCTGTGAATTTGTTTATTTTAACATTATACATTGAACTCCAACTTCCTTTTCCTGCCATATGTGAACAAATATTTCCAGCACATTTACAATATGCTGGTTTCAGTAGCAATGTGAATGACGGGTGGATTTCTTTTATTAGTATTATGAATATGGCACAGTATTCCTCCCACTACATTTTGACTGCTACTTTTGTCACCAAAAATAAAAATAATGGGTAACTACTTTACCCTTTAAAGGTAAAGGTAAAGGGACCCCTAACCATTAGGTCCAGTCATAACTGACGCTGGGATTGCGGCGCTCATCTCACTTTACTGGCCAAGGGAGCTGGCGTTTGTCAGCAGACAGGGCATGTGGCCAGCATGACTAAGCTGCTTCTGGCGAACCAGAGCAGCGCACGGAAACACCGTTTACCTTCCCGCCAGAGCGGTACCTATTTATCTACTTGCACTTTGACGTGCTTTCGAACTGCTAGGTTGGCAGGAGCAGGGACCGAGCAACAGGAGCTCACCCCATCGCGGGGATTTGAACCGCCAACCTTCTGATCGGCAAGTCCTAGGCTCTGTGGTTTAACCCACAGTGCCACCCACGTCCCTACACTTTACCCTTTAGAAATTGACAAAACTCCTAATTGTTCAGGTGGGTAAATTGCTCTGGACTCTATCACTCCGTTACTGAGTTCATCCCTCTTTAAAGGTCCCAGATGCATGTTTTGTTCCCAGGGAAATTAAGGGTTAGCTCAAGCCCAAAAACTGATTTAGGTCCCAAATATCTGCAAGATTGCCTCCTTCCCTACAGACCCTCAGCAGAGAGTCCCTCATGGTATTTTCCAAAGTGTTTCCAGAAAGGGTGTGTGGCTCTACTTCTAACAAGCCTCTACCCTAGTCGAGAATATCTTGAATGCAGAATAGAGAGAAGTGAGAAGTGCATATACCAGTGAAGGACCTGGGGCTTTCAAATTTCAGTGATTCCCTGTGCAATGCCAAAATAAGTTCCCCACCCCTGCCTCTCACCTTCCTTTTCTTATTGTGGCATCCCCCTCTTGACTCAGTGCCCAGTCCAGGCAAACTAGTTGCGCTCCCCTAAATCCACCTCTGCAAACACATTTTTCCCACTCTCCATTTTATATGCACAGCAACCCCGTGAGGTAGGTTGGGCTGATGGACAGAGACAGGCTCAAAGTTACCCAGTGGATTTCATGACCAGGTGAGGATTTGAACCCTTGTCTCCCAGGTCCTAGTCCAACTCTCTAAAAGTTTGGGTTCTATGCCTCTCTGGGTATCATACTGACTGAATCTATGTTCCTCCTCGAACCTAGGATAATCACAGTTGCTGTTGATACCTCTGATCTCAAAACCCCCATGCCTTTAGGACAGTAATTCTCAAACTGCTCCAGATCCAGTGCTGGGTTTATGTATAAGCTAAGCAAGCTTTAGCTTAGGGCCCCACTCTCTTGGGGGACCCCAAAAAAATTAAAGAAAAAAAATGATGTACATTTCTAAAATATAAGATAAAAAACAAATAAAATAAAACCTACATACAGCAACAGTGTTTTGTGTTGTGTAGGCTCCTATGATGTAAATATCCCTGCCTGCTAGCCTGCTCCCTAAAATATCACTGGTTTGCTCATTTCTATGTACAGTGGTACCTTGGTTGGCATACGTCTTAGTTTGCATACATTTTGGATTACAAACACGTCAAATCTGGAAGTGTGTGTCCCAGTTTGCAACCTTTTTTTGGATTACGACCCTTTTTTGGTGGGGGAAGGCCCCATTGGTGAAAGCGTGCCTTGGGTTACAACCTGTTTTGGTTTACAAACGGACCTCCAGAACAGATTATGGTTGTAAACCAAGGTACCACTGTATAGGGTGCCTACATTCTGCATGTGTGTCAGGGAACTGCCATCAGAACAGAGGAGGGAGCCAGGGGGGATACAGAGAGCTTCAGACACTTCTGGGGATCAGTGCCTCTTCCAATGGTGGCGAAAGCCACACCTCCAGTGGAGCAGGGGTGGGGGAGGGGGCAGCCAAGCAAGGGGAGGGCTCAAAGATGCTACTGAGAGCCCAAGCCCAGCTATCCAGGAAGCAGACATGCCGTTTCCATCACCCAGCCTGCGCAGAGGGGTGAAACGTAAGGAGGGGAGGCGGAGATTTAGGGTGTCTAAGTTCTTATGTTGGGGGAGAAGCTGGAAGGGGCCACTCCCAGAATCTGCAAGTGACTAAGGCGGACAGTGGTTCTGCACTGTAAATAGTTTGCACCAATAAAACCTGTAAAAGATAGGACGGAGTCCTGCCTGGTTACTCACGAGCAACCACCACCAGCACCTGACAGCGTGCAAATGGCTTTAGATACCTATTAGGTCCATAAATTTCCATAAAACAGGCATGTCCAACTCCCAAGAGACTACAATCTACTCCCACTATAAAAATACTGGCAGTGATCTACCATTGGATTGACCAAAGTTGTTGAGCTTTCTTTGAGGAGTTTTTTTGGGGGGGGATCGATCAGGATCACCAGATTGACTGCGAGTGACCACAGACACCCCGTGATCGACCAGTAAATCGTGATCGACTGGTTGGACATGACTGCCATATAGCATATATTTAACACAAAAAACCAGCTGCAATTTTTTGTTGACAAAGGACAGCTGGACATACAAAGGGCCCCATTAACTTCAGTAACTTAGGGCCTCATCAAACCTAAATCGGGCCTGTCCAGATCCCTGAAGGATATGTGATGCTGGGGATGGGGGGGGCTCCTCTCCCAAAATGAAGGAGAATCTGCATAAGGGAAACACTATCCTCAAGGAGGCAGCTACCAGAGAAGTGAGAAATTCACAAAGATAAGGGCCCCAAACAAATGTCTCTGTGGGATAGGAGCATCATTTAACAGTTTATGGTGGAAGCACACTGCCCATGTTTCTTGACATCATCTCACTTGACACTTAAATAGACTTATGTCAAGGGAAAACAGGGCAGGCTGTTCCCGTTTCACAGTTCATGCTAAAGTAGCTGGAATGCCTGATGCTATTGACACAGGGGAGGGGCTGTGCTTTTTCCATATCCTGGGGTTTGAAAAAGAAATGGATGTTCCATGTTGATCTAGTAGAATAATAGTAATGATGCCAGTAAGCCCAGGAACGTGGAAAAACTTGCCCCAGTCTAGAAAACCAAGCAAACACACACACACACACACACACACACACACACACACAACTTCTTTATAGTATTGAAAAATGTAACCAGGGCTGGTAGTAATTCTGAACTTAGCGTTGTAATGATCAAAAATCCTTAGTCAAACCTCTCAACAAAGTTTTCTTAATAATTGGCTGATTCTTTCGTCAGTAATTGGCTCAAAGCAAAACAACAATAAATAGCGTATAGTTTTTCTCATGGTTGTTAAAATGTTGAACGCATTCAATGAAACTTGGCAGGGAAAATGGGATAGCAAAATATTAGGGTTTACCGTGTTTGCAGATATGCCTGTTACAAAATATACTGTAAAATATTATAACAAAAATGTATAATGAACACGTTAGAACGACATCATCTAATGGACAACATAATTGTATCACAGAAACAGAATTCAGAGAGAATATAAAAATGAAAATAATTATAAGTCACATACTGATATGTACTTACCCCAGAAATTACTCGGCAATAAGTTGTCAGGACTGGTGTTGTTGGCATCCATGGTATTCAAAATTGTCAAAATAATGAAAATATTGTATCCACAGTGGAACACTTGGTGTATATTAGAAATTTGACTTGGAAAGAACGCCCTTACATATTCCCTCAGATTGTTCTGTTTGCATGAAAGGAAATCAGTGTATCACATTTCCTGCTTTTATACTCAAATTAGCAACTGTTTGCCTTATCTTAGATTGCCACATGGTTCCTGAGACAGGGGGACGATTTCCTTCTCGTCATTTCCTCGGCTAGGCAGTGAATAATTCAAGAACAATACTTCATCCCCCGTGTTCTGCTTTTTATTGGATCAAGCTCATCCCTAAAATAAAGAGGAGAGTTACTTTTCCTTTTCCAGCATTTCTGTGCACAGAGAGCCTCACCCTGCATTCCTAACTATGCAAAAGCACACACGGGCGACTCGTTTGTACGTTAGGAATTCATGACTGGACATCTCTAAACTTGGTGTGGTGTTGCACTTTTCAGAAAGGTGTTTTGTTGTTTCTCAGCCCAGGATAAACTGCTGGTACTAACCATTAAAGCTCCAAAGATAGGGTCCTCCCATATATTCCATCCTGGACCCAAAGATAATCTTCAGAGGCCCTTTCTTTGGGCACCATCACCAAATGAGGTGATGTGAGTGGGTGCCATTCTGGTGGTGCCGTTCCAGTTGTGGGATGCTCTCCCCAGAGAGGTTCAGCTGATGCCTATGCCCTGATCATTTTGGCAGCTCACTTTGCCTCAGTATGTTCTGTTCTGTTTGTTTGTTTGTTTGTTTGTTTGTTTGTTTGTTTGTTTGTTTGTTTTAAAAAACACATCCAGTCCTTTTTAGACCTTGGGCACTACTAATTTTGTTCTGCTTTAATCTAATGTTGTTTGAATTGATGTTTGGGTTTTTTATGTTCATGTTATTGCGGCTGTTGCTTTAAATAAATATTAATGGCTTTAAAGAACATTTAAACGCCTTCCACAGAACTTATTGCTAATAGGCAGTATAACAAATGCTGAAAATAAGAGTACAACTTCCAATATTATTTTAGATGCATTTTCACACTGTTCCCTAAAGAAAAGGAAAGGAAATACCCAGACTTCCATCCTCATTCTTGCTTCTTTCTTACTGTAAACAAGAAAACAGAATGGGAGATTCAGGTCTGATCTGCATACCTCCTCAATTCCCCAGAAGCAACAAAGCTAACCCTTGACTCTTGTTGTCTCTCAGCACGTAAGGAAAAGGGCAGAAGGGAGAATAGGTGTTGACTTTTGTTTCTGCTGGATGCCCAAACCTGCTTCCTGATCACTGCCCCACTTCTCGGAATAGGTAGCCTGGTATATTCACTGAAAGAGGTGAAGCCCACCTTTTGCTTGCATTGATATGGATTGTCCATTCCATGCATTTTTTTATTAAAAAAACCTGCAGATCTCCACATTAGTTAGAGGCCAGATTGAGCGGAAAGACACCACATATTTGCTGGCCTCAACCCTGCATCCCCTGCCATCAAGGCAAGCCCAGGGTGTTTTGCATTCAGAGGTAAAACCAAAAATGCCACCCACTTCCGCCTCCTCTGCAGCTATTAAAAAACAGCTATATGAACATGTATAATAATAATGGAAACGTGTAGAAAAGCAGTTGAGAAAAACAGTAGTGGACAGCAGTAACCAAAACTATTTCTGCAGCTCTGAAGTAGCATGGCTAAGAGGAATCCAATCTGCAATAACACAGAGTCCATCATTTTGGCATGGTAGAAGTCAAATAAACCATACAGAATCAGAAATGCTTCCACTCACTATTTTTGGCCTATGTAATGCGGGTGGCGCTGTGGGTTAAACCACAGAGCCTAGGGCTTGTCGATCAGAAGGTCGGCAGTTCGAATCCCCACGACGGGGTGAGCTCCCGTTGCACGGTCCCTGCTCCTGCCAACCAAGCAGTTCGAAAGCACCTCAAAAGTGCAAGTAGATAAATAGGTACTGCTCCAGCAGGAAGGTAAACGGTGTTTCCGTGCACTGCTCTGGTTCGCCAGAAGCGGCTTAGTCATGCTGGCCACATGACCCGGAAGCTGTATGCTGGCTCCCTCGGCCAATAAAGCGAGATGAACGCTGCAATCCCAGAGTCGGTCACAACTGGACCTAATGGTCAGGGGTCCCTTTACCTTTTTTAACAGAAATCCCCGAGCACTCCCCCAGGATAAAATTTAATGATGCAAATATTTGTACAGTGGTACCTCGGGTTAAGTACTTAATTTGTTCCGGAGGTCCGTTCTTAACCTGAAACTGTTCTTAACCTGAAGCACCACTTTAGCTAATGCGGCCTCCCGCTGCCGCCGCGTTGCCACAGCCCGATTTCTGTTCTCATCCTGAAGCAAAGTTCTTAACCTGAGGTACTATTTCTGGGTTAGCGGAGTCTGTAACCTGAAGCGTATGTAAACTGAACCATATGTAACCCGAGGTACCACTATATATGATTGTAGAAGCCTTTGGGACACACTGTCAATTTACGCAGACACAATATTATTGGGCTTCATATGTGCTGATTTTTGACCTGGAGGTAGCACTGCTTCCCAAGCAAAACCCTTGTGGCTTCCATCCTGCCCTCTGCTTCTCCCACCATGCAATCAAGCCAAAAGGCAGTGTCAAATGAATCACTTCCTTCCTTCTTGGCTTTAGACGTGTTTGGATAACTTGCAGCCTGTGTGCCACATCCATTCTCTGCCTGGCCCATCCCAAGACTCCCAGTGTGAGGTGTAAGAGACGGTCTTGTTCAGCACCATTTCTTGAGCTGGGAGTGGTGCTGTTCAGACCAGACATCTTACTCCCAGCATTCAGTGAAATAATCTGCAGGAATGCATAGGGAGTGGTACTGCTGGGACAAAAGTGGCACTTCTCAAACTGCTTTTGTCAGCAGCATTACCAGGAAGGAATGCTGGCCATTCCAAACCACCAAAAGAAATGCTGTTTCACACAAGGAAGACCTCTGGCAAATCCTCTCACAGGGTATCACAAAGAGGCAGCAGAGGAACAGGGGCTGCTACCTCAGCACATGCAAGCATAACTAGCCAGCACAGGCTGCAGGAGTCATGGCCTGCATTGGGCCCTGCTCACACTCAGTAGCCACGTGTCTGTGCAGAGCCCCATAGCCTTTGTCACCATCACGTGACCTCAAGTGGTAAGAGTGTAAGTTCTCCTTCTGCCATACAACAGTGCTTCACAGCAGAAGCTTGAAGCTATCCAGCAAACCACTGTATGAGCCACTGCTGTACTGTGGTAAATAAGCATTTTGTCTTTGAAATGTCGTCATGCCCATTTTGAATCTGGCTTGCAAATTTCTTTCTCAGGGGCTCATGCTGCCTTTTTATACTCCTGACATTTGACAAAACAAAGGCAAATATGGTATGTTGCCTCACTGCGGCACTAAGATATCTAAGAGATAAAAAGCGCAGAGATACTTATGTATGCTCAAAAGGACCTGTCAACATCAAAAGGTGAGGTAAAAAAATGTGTAACAAACTTTTAATGAGCAAATCAATGGCAGATTTCTGGCTTTTAGAGTTCTCTGGAAAAATCAAGTCTTACATATGATATGGGAATGAATAATTTATTTTTTAAAACCTGTCATTATAATTGGTGGAGCAGAAGGAGAGCTCGTTTAATTGCATGTATCACAGGGGCTCCATAAAATGTATCTCTACCCATTATGCCCTTCCACAGAGTCCCTACCAGTGGAAGCTATGGAAAATAACAAATAACAAAAAACAAAAAAACAAAAAAGGTGGATTGGTTTGGGAGAATTCCTTGACTGGATTTGGATAGGAAGCTTTGTAAGGCTCCATCAAGCCCATGTTAAAATGACAGGCACGTCAAAAGTACACTATTCTCAGCTATTGATTAGTGACAATTATTTTGTTATAAAGTATTCTTACTACTTCCTACCCCACCCCAGATAAGGGCAGTTCTGGCTATTAATAATATCCCTAACTACAGGGAACCCCCATTTACATGGGTGTTATGTTCCGAGGCACCATGTGCACCAGTGAAATCACATGTATATCATTGATTTTTCAGTGGAAAAAACAAACATCTTCTTCTGCCCCTTACCCTGTCCCCACCCCGCCCCATTCTGCTCCTTTTTGTGGCATTTTTGGTCACTTCCAGGTTCGGCCTGATGTGTATATGCACGGCCATGCACATATTGAATGTGTGCAAATGGCAGGTTGCATGTACATCTCTTAGAATGCTTAGTGTTCCCCTAGACCAGGCACGTCCAAATTCTGCGATCTACTCCCACTATAAAAAAAAACTGCCAGTGATCTACTGGATTGACCAGAGTTGTTGAGCTTTTTGGGTGGAGAATGAGCCAAAGTTGTTGATTGCAGCTGGGGGACCGAAAGCTCTCCCTCACTCATCCTGCCACAGGCACCCACAAACTCCCAAATACAAAGACACTGGGCTATAGATTAACAGTATACCGTATTTTTCGTCCCATAGGGAGCACTGGCCCATAGGACGCACCTAGTTTTTTAGGGGGGGGAATAAAGGGGGGGAAATTTCCTTTATTTCCCCCCCCCAAAAAACCAGGTTGGGGAATCCAAACCAGGTCGGGCAAAAAATACGGTAGATTAACAAGCCTCCAACTGGAGTCAGTGTCAGCCCAGCCATTAAGCATCAACCCTCAAAAGTCTAGCCCCCAAACTCTGTTAATCAATGCAACAAGGAGGCTGCCTCCTGCTGGTGTGATAGAGCTGGTATTGCTGTCTTTAGTAATTACTGGGGTTCTCTGAGATGAAAGGGGGGTATATAAAATAAATAAATAGTAATAATGACAGATACCAGGGGCAAATCAAGCACTCAAAACCAGTACTGGGACTAAACCCCCAAATACCATTAATAAGCAGTTTTATTTTCGAACTGACTGAAGCTTAAAACATCAGGGCATCCAGGGATTCCCCATCCCTGACTTAACAGTATGGTAATAACAAGCTATCTCCTTGAAAACAACAGGGAGAGATCGCCAAC